AAGAGGTTAGAAGAGGGGATTACTGATAGCTTCATGTGCCTATTTTGGGGAAGGGGTCAGTTATGGGTATGCGGGGTGCTTGGGAAATAGGCTGTGCAGTGGAAGTACGAAAGAAACTAGAATCAGGGTGTCTGAGTTGGAGTCAAGGCTCTCACACTGTCACATCTGTCCCTTGAACAAATCATCTTTCTGGGGTTCAGTGCTCTCATTTTAAAAACAGTGCCTCATTCTCAGGGTTCTCTCGAGAATCAAACGCATTTCTAAGAGTTTTGCGGTAATAACGATAATGCCTAAAACTTATTGGCACATGTTCCAGGTACCAAGCACTTTACTTTCCTCATTTAACCTTCATTAACTCCGCAAGGTAGTTAGCTCTCATTCACCGACGAGGAAACAAAACTACGCAATTTGTCCGAGGACACAAGACTAACAAGAAGTAATGTATCCTGCCAAAGCTAAAGCTGTATTAATGCTGCCACCCTGGGAAGAGGAACAGCTTGGGGAACGATTTCCCGAGTTAGGAAAGCCCTGAGGCGGAGAAGGGCCGAGCGACGGCTGGACTCACAAACACCGTGGCTTTGGCCGCTTTGCGCAGCCGCAGGTACTTGAGCCGGTACTTCTCGTTCTGGCTCTTCTTCGGGAGTTTTTTCATCCTGGCTTTGCTGGACGGCAGCGCGGCCCGCGGCGAGGAGGCGAGGCCGCCCAGCAGGCTCATGGTCCGGCCCCGCTAAGGGGGCTCCAGGGCGCGGCCGGCATCGGCTTCTGGGCCGAAGGGCGGCCGGGAGAGCTGGCTTCGCCTGGTCTGGGCTGGCGGAACCAGGTCTCGGGGAATCGACCTTTCCAGACGTCCCCAAGGCGGACAGCTGAGCCAAAAACCCTGCAACCGAACCGGCTCCCAGTGCCTCCCAGCACTTCCGCGTCTGCCTTGGAAGTAAGCCCTGCCCGGAAGTTACGTAAGGTCGCTAGCTGCGTCTGACTTCCGGGGCTGCGTGAGCGTGCTCCTGTCGGCCTTGCGCATCTCTGGCCCGGTAGGAGGGAGGAGAAGACGGGAGGCGAGTGGAGGTCGGGGCGAGGTGGGCGGCACGCTGGCCCCAAACGACCACTGTGACCCCCGTCTGTGTGGTTAGCTGAGTAGTATTACTGTTGAGCTGAGGCGGAAACAAACAAAAATCTTGCCAACGCGAGTCTCGGGCGCACTCCCGCAGCCCTGTGCGTTTCAACTCCACTTTTTCACACTTGGTACAGACTGGCCTTCCCGAGTGTAGGACGCACTTGAACGCGAGTGCTGGTACTGCTCTTTCCTTGCTTGCTTCCTTTATACAGCTCGGGTAAATGTTTAAGTGCCTGTTATGCGGTGATGTTACTAGGAGCTGAGCCTACGGTGGTGAATAGAAAAAGGGCCTGGGAATCTAGTAGGGAAGATGGAAAATTTAACAAGCAATTTTAATAACATGCTAGCCCTGAGTAGGTGCTCAGTGTTTGCCTAATAAAACCTAAAGTATTTTTCTGTACTTGTATTTATATAGCTCTGACTTTATAACCAAGGTCTGTCTGAAATCATCAGAGAGGGGGATAGACTGTTCTTTAGATGCAGTAATGGTAAATGCGCTGGTCTGAAAGTCAGAAGGCCTGTATTGATTCTTCTTCCCGCAGTGCCACTAACTAGTTGAGTGATGAGCCTCAGAGTCACAGGTTTTTCCTCTCAAAACTGAATATACTCTTTAGAATAATGGAGATGAATGAAGAGTTCTAAACGGAAAGGTACTCTACTCATATACAATTACTGTTACATATTCTAAGTGTAGACTTCTAGAATTGCACATGGAAATTAAGGAAAATGTGTACACGGTCCAAACAATAAATTCATTGAATTACTGGAGAAAAATCTAACGCTAATATAAGTAACTTAGAATCAGGGTTCAAAAAAAGAGGCTTAGAATTGATGACCCAGGTACTTCATTTTTGAAAATTGTAAAAATAGCGATGGAGTCTTGACAAAATGGTTTTAACACAGAGAGAAGGCTTATGAAAGTCCCTTTATTTCCATCCATATTGAAAGCTGCCCTTGTTGTAGCTGGCGCGGTTTTAATAGAGCAATTCCTCGTGGTGCCAGTGCGCTTTCACAAACGTACTCAAGGCAGCCATATAGATTCATTTTTGGAAACTGCCAGGAATGTTTTCAACCTACAAATTATTCATATTCATGCCTTTCATACTATAGATTGACAGTTTACCTTGGAACCTGAAAATAGGTAGTTCTCAGTAATATATGAAGAGATTTTCTTTTTTTGAAAAAAAAAAAAAAAAAACCCTAGGGCAGGCCTCGTGGCGTAGTGGTTAAGTTTCAGTGCTCTGCCTTGGGCAGCAGGGTTTAATCCTGGATGCAGACATGCACACTGCTCATCAAGCCATGCTGGGGTAGTGTCCCACATACAAAAAATAGATGAAGATTGGCACAGATGTTAGCTCAGGGACAAACTTCCTCACCAAAACAAAACACAAAACCCCTTATTTGCTAACTGCCTGATTTATGTGCTGTCCAGCTGTATTTTGTTCTTGCAGGCTTTGTGACCTGACTCTATTTTCATTATTCCTCTTCACATAGATGTATCATGACTACTGGGAGGGAAAATGCTGTCATTTACCTTAGTTTGCAAGATGCTCTGGACAGTGGATTTCAGGGGAAGTTGTGTTAAATTGTTGTTTTTTTTGAGGAAGATTAGCCCTGAGCTAACCTGCGCCACCAATCCTCCTCTTTTTGCTGAGGAAGACTGGCCCTGAGCTAACATCTGTGCCCATCCTCTTCTACTTTACATGTGGGACGCCTACCACAGCATGGCTTAATAAGTGGTGCATAGGTCTGCACCTGGGATCCAAACGAGGCCAACCCCAGGCTGCTGAAGTGAACTTAACTGCTGCACCACCAGACCAGCCCATTAAAATGTTTGTTTCTTCTTTATTAGAAGTAATTCCTTCCAATTTATAAAACATTTGATGCTAATTTTAGAAATTTAGAAAATATAGTACAAAGCAGATTTTAAAAAAAGTCCATAATGCTGCCACATGGAGTGAACCACTTTTAACATGTTAGTATGTGTGTTTAATATTTTCATATAGGTTAGATCATACTGAATATAATGTTTCCTTTTTATTTACTTACCATTATTATAGTCATTTTGTAGTCTTTATGACTTCTGTATAAACATAATTTTAAATAGCTACTAACTGTTCCAATTATGACATAATAATTTTACATAATTATTTCCATGTTGTTTGACTTTTTGGTTCTTGGTTGCCGTCAAGTGCATCTTTGTGCACGAAGCTTTTTCAGTAAGGCTTATTTAGCTATTGGATCTGTGTGCTGCAGGCAACGTAAAGTTACTGAGCAACTCATTCAGTCGCTTATGTATTCAGAAGAATATTTATTTAGTGCCCGTTACGACACAGCCTTTAGGAAGCTTATTTAAGAGAGAAAGACAAATAAATGGGCAATATTAATACAGTGTAATAAAATTTTATCTCAGAGGTAGGTATTGGATAATATGGCAGCACCTAGTTAGGGAAGGGGAAAGGAGATAGGGAAGGCTTTTTGAAGGAATTATGCCTGGGCAGACTCTGAAGGAGAGCTAGTGGTTGGCCCAGTGAAGAACAGAGGAGTCATCTTGGGTAGAATATGACAGCATATTCAAAGGCTCAGCATCATGGGAAGCATAGGACCTGAAAGTAGTTGGTCAGAGTGAAAGATGTATGTGGAGAGAGGCAAGAGGAGAGACTGATGTAGTAGGCAGGATTTGGATCATGAAGGGTCTTATGTCCCAACTGAAAAGTTAGACTTTTGCCCAGTGACACTAGGAAGCCATCGATGAATGTCTATATATCAGACCCTTTGCTTGTTTTAGGTAAACTTAGCTGAATTTGTTAGAAGTGACATAACTTTTCTACTTACCTATATGAAGAAGGGCCTAAATGGCCTATGCAAAAATCCTCTGAAGAAATATGTAATATGCAGCTCTAGAAAGAAATATCAAATGAGAGACAGCGTGGTACTGTGAGCTGAATGTGGCTTTTGGAGTCAGATCAAGATTCTGTTAAATCCTGCAAAGGAATGGGAGTTAGAAGCTAAGGTGAGGTGATGAGTCAGAGAAGAGAGAGAAGTGGCTCAACAGCACTCTGCTATATATCCTATTTACTTCTAAGGGGTTACTGTTCAGTGACTGGCTGTAAGTGGATGCATAGCATCTCCTTGGGTATGAAGAGTATACCAGGGCCCATTAAGAGTTGTGGAAGAGTCCACAGCACATAATCCCAGCCCTTGGTGAAGTGAGTCCCTGGTTTAGATGATGAAAAAGTGTATTTGTACACCTCAAGTCTCCACTCATAGCTGATGCATGGCCCTGGCCTTGTCCTACATTGTCCTTAAGCCCCAAGAGCAGATTACAAATTCCTTCCATCAGTTTCTCCTGGCCCACTTTGCAGGGCACAGAGAGCCCGGGCAAGGTTGATGACTTCCACAAAACAAGGTGGGAAAATTCCTTGGATTTCAGGCTACACCAAAGGGTTTCCAGGGATTTTATATCTTCGTTCTCTTACCAGATTACCATACTTGCTCTTTGGGATAAACTGTGTATCCTATGAGGGCCACGGAGTAAACACAGTGAGAAGAACCTGCCTCCATAAATAGCCTTTAGAACCTTCTTTCCTTGTAGAATGTCTAGACTTTAACTTTAGTTTTAGTTTTTGTTTTTTTTCCTTGTCCTCATATTATGCTCTAGGTCTAATTTTTTAATTTTCTGACTCTTCAGTTCCAATGATCAGATTTGTTTCCATGTGTTGATTATATCTTCTCACTTTTAGGATAAAATGATACAGAATGTGTGATTCAGCTGAATCCAAGCTTAGCAATTCTAAAGTGGGTAGTTTTGCATATTAGTGTGTGAGGCTTGTGAGGAAGGACAGAGATTTTTACTTTCCATAAAATTTTTTGTTTCATGGTTTCTTAACTATGGGTTTTCATCATACACTTGGTGGGTGAGATGTTTAGGTTTAGAGGGTTCTAAACCAGCCAACAGAGTCATGAAATCAACAACTGTGTCAATGTTGTGCTTCTGGGCGGTTGTATCCTTCAAAACACATAAGACATTCAACCAGCTAAAAGAAATGAGCTCAGAGATGTTGGCTCGGAGGAAAAGAAGGATCACGTTGAGGTCATTGATGGGGCATCCCAACATCTTTCTGCTGAGGAGATCAAAAGCTGGGAGCATCTCATAGATGGATAGGAGTCGTTTGTCCCACTGACATAGCTGTGTGAGGTTGTATATTATCACTGGAACCATTAGGGTGTATATTGCTACAGTGGAGAGACTAACAATCTGGAAAACAGACAGGGAGGTCAGCCTGCATGTGATCAGATCAGGGATGTGAGTCTCATCACTTAGCAGCCCAGTCTTGATGGAACAGCTGAATTCCTCTTGGAAGAAGACATCCAGATGGAAGTGGCCAAGGTACAGGTAGGTGGCTGATGTGAAGAGGAGCAAGAGGGAGTTCCTCAGGAGGTAAGTAGCCACTAGTGAATGTGAGCGCTGCTTACATGCCAGGTACCGCTCTAGCAAGGGGAATTCAAAGTATCGTTCTTTCCGAGCCCTGAGCAGGGGAAGAAAAGAGGCAAGGTTAGGAGGGACCATTTAGAACCATTTCCTGAGAAAGCCCATGTGGGGAAGTAACAGAAGCTGTGTATCTGACATGGCCTTCTCCACACACATGAAAATATGCCTTCTCTGAGCACAACCACTCCTCTCCCCAAAATGAAGTGTGTGTGTATATCTTAATTCTCCAAGCAATGAGTACAGTGTGGTTAAACCCAGTGAATGATCAATGAATAATGAATAGTCACATGGATTTCTGCCCAGCAGAACGGACTATACCTCCAAGCTGAAGTAAGATACGTAGGAAGCAATAAGGCTTCTTAAATTAGCGCTGAACTGGGAGTCTAAATAACCACATTCTGGTCCTTGGTCTGTATACTCTGTGTATGATTTTTAGACCAATTCATCCATTTCATAAAAATAAATGTGCTAACAAGTATTTGTTGAGAGCTGTAGTGTTTAGGTACATATAAGCCAGTCTCTGCTCTGAAGAAGCTTACAGACTGGCTTATGGGGAAGGGGCAGATAAGATTTGCAAATATGAGATAAAAATAGCACTTGATTTGTTGCTAAAATGGTAGATACAAACCATGGTAGTTGTAAAAGTTAGGAGAGAAAGGTGAACACTGGGCTGGAGTGTTCAGAAACCTTTATGGAGAATGTTGTCTTAGAGTTGGCCTTCAAAAGGTAGATACTGTTCAGAAAGAGATAGGAAAGGAACTTTTCTCAGAGGATGGAGTAGGTGCACAAACATGAGAAAATATGTTTTCAAATCTTAGCCCAATTGTCCTCTTGGTGGGGCCTACCCTGGCTGCCCTATTTAAAACTGTCCCCTTCCTCAGTCTTCCAGCTTCCCTGAGCCCCCTTACCCTGCTTTACATTTTTTCCCTTCATACCACTTGTCTTCTGCTGTATGATTTACTTATGTCTTATGCTTTGTTCATTGTTTTCTCTCAATATGATGTAAGCCCCACATGAGTAGGTGTATCTTTCCTCCTCCCCACCCCCAACCCCAACACACACACACAGACACACACAGACACACACACATATCAGAGGCACCCAGAACAGTGCCTGGCACTCAGTAAATGATGAATGACTGCTTAAGTGAATGAATGGCTTGTTTAGGAGAAAAGGAAGAGACTACCTAGGTAGAGTGGAAGGGTTCTGTCACTTGCTAGTTAGAGAGAAGTTTGAAAACGTAGTTTGTGATGCTGTGGAGGGCCTTGGAAAAATATTTGGGAGAATGTGGATATTTTTCTGTAGGCATGGGGGGAGATATTTGAGGTTTCTGAGCAGGGCAATGGTATAGGAAAGAAAGTGGCATTTTAGAGAGATTAATCCCTTTGTGACTCAGTGTGTTCATATGTAAGATAAGGGTAGAGTTCTTTCTCTTCTCTGAGTACAGAAATGATAGACAGTTAGTGAGATGTGTTAAGCACTTTGAATTCTTCAGAAAGATGGTATAGAGGATAGTTTACTCTGCAAGGACATCATTTTAATGCTGAGTCCTTCACAAAGGAGTGGAAGAGACAACTCACTTCTCCAGCTCATCCCAGAAAACATGGGGGTCCGAGCTCTTCTGCCGGATCTTCACCATGTGCTGCACCAGGCGGATGGAACGATTATAGGATTTGTCCAGTTCGCTGATGATGAACAGCAGATCTGAGCTGAGGGCTGGCACAGCTGCATACTGCCACAGCAGAACTGGGAGGTACATGACCACAGCCAGGGCCAGCATGGAGTAAGGGAGGGCCTGTAGGACAAGAGTGAGCTGAGGAGGGAGGCCCAGGGTCCTGGGATCTTGTGGAGAGAGCTGTGAGAGAGGGGCTCTCATTCCCTGGTTCCTGCCTCAGAGGGGGAAAGCAATATGGAGAATGAGTACCGCAAGCCCAGGACCTAAGGCTGTCTACTAACCTGGCTGAATATAGTGAAGCCCAGGAAAGAAGGGATAGTGGATCTCCATGCTCCCCAGCTCCACTCTTCAAATGTGGGGTCTGTGTAGGTGTGTAGGGCTCTAGGAACAGGAGAGGGGGAGGGGGAGGGAGAGCTGTGCTCCCCATTCCCTGTTCCTCATGCATGTTAGCCTGAGTAGCTAACTAGAGATCATGGGATCTTAGGGGAGACCGTCTTCATTCCCAATTTTCCGCCTTTCTTTCTTTGACTGCTCCAGGTTCTTATCCGCAGACATTGAGAGTTCACTAGCTTTTAAATTCCAGCCTGGGACCCCAACATTGCTGATTTTTACTTAGCTGCTCCAGAGAGGAGGTCAAATCCTATTTCCTTCCCTGACTCCTCTCATGTGCAGTGGTCTTTTCTCATTTCCAGATTCTTGGTAATACAAAACCACACCATCAGGTACTATCTTGGAATTCTTTGGGGCTATTTTGGTAAGTATGTATGTAAGCTGACATTGAGGTAAACGTAAGTCTTGTGTCCTAACTATACTATTTGCTACTTGAGGTAAGGGACTTTTCTTTATGTTTTCTCATCCTACTTACTACACCTAAAAGGGCTGGGCCCACTATTTTGCCCACAGTTAAAACTGCTTATAAAGGTTTTTTTTAAAGCTACATTTGTACTAGGTGTTTAACATGCATTATTTCACTTGATCTTCACAATGGTGCTATGAGGTAGGTACTGTTAGTATCTGTTTTACAGATGAAGAAACTGAAGCATGAAAAGGTTAAGTAACCTGTACAGGGTTACACTTCTAGTGGGTGAGTGAGCAGGATTTGGAATGAGACAGTCTGATTTTGGAGCTTATTCCCTTGACAACTACTTGACTACAGCTTATCCTGAGCCAGAGACACTTTTTATTTTAGAGGAATGTTTGAAGAAAAAGAGGGAGGATGCATATTTGGTTGCATCTAGATAGAGGAGAAAGGGGTGTGTGTGTGTGCGCGTGTGTGTGTGTATGTATGTGTGTTTCCCATCTAAACAAGAGAGACAGGTTAAGAAAGGTATATTAGGTCACGAGAGAAAATTAGAACGTTTTCACTCCTTTCCAAGAAATGACATTTCTTGAAAATAGACTCTTCACCCCTAAGGTTTCTGTTCCAGTAGGGTTGAAGTGCAGCAAGAGAATCTGGGTGCAGAGAGCTCTCAGACAATCCTACTGATCAGATGGTTTCACTCTTTTCTGACATCTGAATCCCCTCTGCAGTATCTTGAACTTGTTGCTGTCTAGATCCTGCTTAAACACTTCCAGTGACAGAGATCTCAAGGACTCTTTCCACTAAGTCTCTGGTTTTGTCTAGGTCCTAGAACTGTAGCATTCTGAGGCCTTGTAAATTGTCATACCTAGGGAGTGTTATGAGTGACTTCTGATTAAACATTGTAAATTGGGTGTACATATGACTTCTCCTCCCTCCTGAAGCCCCACTAGAATGGCAATAAAGGGATCAAAAAGACATACTCCTATAAAGACAAAATAGGAGAGGAGACGAGAACAACAAACTTGAAAACTGGAAAGCAGCTGCATAATATAGAAGATGCCAGCTATTTTGCACCACAGAACCAGAAAGACTCAGGAATTGGAGATACCAGGTATGTCTGAAGGTGGGGGTGCAGGTGGGGCTGAAGATGAGAATATTGAAAAACTGACCCACAGATCCTTTCTATAACATGATGCAGTCAAGCGACTACCCTTTCCCTTCCTGGCAGAAGGCTTCTGGTTTACTCTTTGTAAACATTAAACCAGAGAGATTCTTCACTTGGGTCCATTGAGGGTAAGGGAACCATCCTGAGAACAGGGGGATAAGTTGAATGAATACTGAATACTGAGACCCACAGTTGACTTCCAAGAGGGTTGACAGCTGAGCTTGATAACAACTGCTCCCTGCCCCCTCTGTACAAATTAAGGATCGAATCACTCTTCTTGGGGAAACTGACTAGCCCAAGAGATAGGATTACAGATACTGATATTTGAAGTTTTCCCAATGAAATGGCCCAAAGGGATCACCTTAAACTGAAGGCTGCCAGTCAATAAGCCTCATGCATAGGCGCAAAGCTTCTAATTAAATAAAAGTGGGCAACCAATGATCACCAGACGTTTGAAGAATGCCTGAAATGTGAAAGTCAATGGTCAAGATAAAAAAGTAGGGGGAAGCAGTGAAGAGGCAAGAGAACATAATGATGCAGTTCCATCCCACTCCACTCAGCCATGAAGCCAGCGTGATAGACTCCTAGCCCACCTTACCTTGTGAGGCCAGAGGGATTTTGTCTTGTACTGGCCAGACTCCTCCTGCTCGTGGTGAACCAGTGAGTCCCAGCAGGAACTGTCCACGTAGGCAGCCTGCCGGATGCTGAAGTTACTGGGAGAGAAGCAGTTGATGGGAGACCCTGGAACAGGAATGCAGCTTTGAGAGCTCTGAGTTGGAGCAGAGGAATGGAATCCACGGTGCAAACAGCCAAGAGTTTTCTAGGGGCTGCCTCCACCGCTCTGCAAATTTTTGTAGCTAGTAGGCACTTTCTTCTTCCCATGTCCCAGTTTCTGGATTTGGCCCTGCCATGTCACCGTTAGGACAGTTTGGCCCAGGCCTGCCGAGCTGCTGACTCGCTTTTGATATCTGCCAGTGGTTCTTTTCTCTCAGAGCTCCCCCTGGACTCCCAGACAAGTCGGCAGTGGGGCTTCCCTGCACTCCTGCAGTTTGGCACCAGAGGGCTTACAGTTTGTTGGTGAAGTCTCTTTCCTAAGAGAATCTTTTAGATTCCAAAAGAGGATTAATTTCCTTCTGAGCCCAAAGCAAGAGAAAGGGTGAGCATGTGGTACTGAAAGGAAAGTGGGCTTGGAGGGAGAGTCTCTGCTTTTTGCATCACTCTCTAGAAAGAGGCAGAAATGGGAACCAATACTTTTCCCCATCTTGTAGGTGAATCAAGCGGCAGTGGGAAGTTGACACACCTCCTTGGGAAATACAGTAAGCTAATCACACAGCCAGAAAAGAGAGCCAGAAATCCCAATTCTCGGCAAGTCCACATTCTTTTTAATAGAGGCAACAGATTTGCTGAGTTAATACAGCATCTAGAACACTAGATATATGTGTTTGGTAATGTTTGTGTGTGTGGTTGGGGTTCATGGAGAGGAAGGAATGGATTTATTTAGCACCTGTGATATGCCAGGCTCTGTCAGGCACTTAACATATGTTCTCAAATCAGTAACCCTGGAGATGGGGAGTAGGAGGAATGCTCAGAGAAGATAAGAGACTGCTCTAAAGCATGACCTACTAAGACCTTTAGAAGTCTTAGGTCATGAAAAGATTATGGGGCCCCAATCTGTCTCAACTATATGAAAATCAGAATAAAAGCTCAATTACTGCAATGATATAAAATATGTGAATACTGGAATTAAAACTAAATATTTTTTATTGCAAAATTTTGGAAATGACTTTCAAAATTTTTTGGTACCTCTGCTTTGCTGGTACCCTAAACTCATGCATAGTCTCTCTTTTGGGTAATGCCCAGGCCAAAGTCATGAAACCTAGACCATGTGGGAGTTGTCACACTTCACATCCCATGCAAAGAGTGAAACAAAGTGGAGTCTCTTTTATACTCTGGGTCTTGAAAGCCACTTACCAGAGGAGAACTCCTGGGCAAATGCCAGGGACATCAGCAGCAAGGGGAAGCCCACAGCTACGAACTTGACCATCTGGTCCAGGGGAAGTTCCAGGCGCAGTCCTTTGAGGCGGGGGCCCCTGCGATCCGGCAGCAGGGCATCTGAGAGCATGTACTCTGCAGCTGTGTGTGCAAGCGACATTATGCAGAGGCAGCAGGAGGGGTTCCAGGATGGTAGAGTGAGGAGATGGCAGCTTCAGGCAGCTGGCTTTGAGGAGATAGTGCCTGCAGCCCCAACCTCGTAGATGTCTGTGCTTGGAGCAGGCGCTGGTTCTCTAAATAACTGGCCAGGCCCTGAGCCAGGAACCTGGTAATTAGAGGGAGGCGTAGCTTAGTGGGTCCTCGCTGGAGGAGGGTCAGGCTTCAGCTGGGGCTGGTGCCAGGCTGCTGTCTCTGGGTTGTCCCTGAGCAGATGGAGTCCCGTGGCTTTATACTGCCCTCTCATTAATAAAGTATTTTTAGTGGGGTGGTGGAGAGAAGGAGGGCTGTGCAGCCGGGCCCCCCATGTAATTGGTGTGGAATTTGGGTGGAGATTGCTTAAATGTGTTGAAGGCCTTCGTTTTGTGGTTTGAGGTGGGAATGGAGCCCCTGGGACTCAGGACTGCTACTTCTATATGGTATTCTTTGTCCCAGGGATGACTTTGCTTTGGGTCCCTACTGTTTCCCAGAAACTGCTTTGAATTTGGTGTTAAATTGCCTTCCCTGCCTCTCATCTTTTCCCAAAATGTTTCAACCACATATTTACAATTTCCATGTAATTTACTTTTTTAAAAAAAATTAAAAAAATTTTTTTTTTAGCCCCATCAATTCTCTAGAAAGCTGAGGGATGGGTGGCGCTGTTGAGTGGTGGAAAGAGCACGACTTGAAATTTGGAGGGAAAAGTCTTCCACTGGAGAGCTAGCAGTACTCATTTTTTTACTGCGTGATTTCAGGCAAGTCACTTTTGGCTCAGTGTGCTCATCTGTCACATGGTATTATATTGTAACCTTATAAGATTGTGAGGGTTGATTAAGAGTATTACATGTGAAGGTGCTTTGTAAACTGTAAACTGTAGCGCAAATGTCAACTCTTATTTCAGTTTGGTGGGGTTGGGTGGGTGGGAAAGCTAACACTGGGGCATGGGGTGCTCTTGTCTCTAGCATTGCCCTGACACTTGGCAAGAGAGGCCCTGACTTGGGCCTTCGCACTGGTCCCGTTTGGCCGCATCCTTCCCACAAGGCAAGGAGTACATGGGGCTAGGGGGATGTGCCCATTCAGAGCCCATGCACCCCCTCTAGACCACTCCTCTAGCACCTGGGATGCTGCAAGTCCCTGTCCAGATGACCCAAGGCTGTAGATCATGCTGTGGGTGTGCACCCCCAGGCCTGAGGAATGGCTCGTTGTGGGGGTTTGGGTGGAAATTAGAAGTCCTAGGGAGCCCACACATGCCATTGTGAGGCTTAGCTGGGTTGGGAAGAAGGGGCCTGGGGAGTCTGAGGATTCTAAATTTGAACCTGGCATTCCTGATCCTTATGAAGGTTGTATTTGTGTGTGTCTATATATGTAAAGGTAGAACATACTTTATTTAACAGTTTGTTAGCTTGATTTATAACTTTTAATTTTTTAGATATATGGTATGTGGACCTCTATTCAAACTTTTTCTTTGGCCCACAAATATTTGGGCTGGGATTACCACTCTGCCCGTCCCCAGGCTAGAGGCCACCTCTGATGCAGAGCTGCCCTGTGTGTGCTAACTGGAGTGATCCTTGCCTGGCAGCAGGAGAAGCGATCCTTTAATTCTCCTCCCCGTTAGCCTCTCCATGCTCCCATTTCTGATTCTTTCCATTATGTGCATTTTTGCCCAATGCTTGTTATTTGTTTATATGCATATATTTTCTTTTGCCTTTTAAAAATAGTTTACATTTTGGGCCAGCCCAGTGGCATAGTGTTTGAGTTTTCACTCTCCACTTTGGTGGCCCAGGGTTCACAAGTTTGAATCCTGGGCACAGACCTACACTCTGTGCATCAAGCCATGCTGTGGCAGTGTCCCACATGCAAAATAGAGGAAGATGGGCGCAGATGTTGCCTCAGGGACAATCTTCCTCAAGCGAAAAGAGGGAGATTGGCAATAGATGTTAGCTAAGGGCCAATCTGCCTCACCACATCCCCCAAAAGTTTACATTTTTAGTGGAGTATAATATACATACATATACATACATTAGTATGCACATAAGTGTACAGTTCAATAAACGTCCATATGATCAAGAAACAGATCCGTACTAATACCCCAAAAGCCACCTTTGTGCTCCTTTCTAATAACTGTCATTTCTCAAAGGGTGATCGTTATTCTAAGTTCTAATAGCATAGATTAGTTTTGCCTTCTTTATACTTTATAGAAATGAAATTGTATGTATATACTCTTTTGTGTCTAGCTTCTTTTGCTCTACATTATATTTATGAGAATCATTCATTTTATTGCCTATTTTTGTACTTTATATAAATGGAATCATATGTGTGTATTTTTTGTGTCTGGATTCTCTGCTCAACATATTTTTGAGACACATTTGTGTTGTTGTATGTATCAGAAATCCATTCCTTCTTATTGTACAGAAATACAACAGTTAGTTTGTCTATTGGTGGCATTTGGGACCATCAGTAGTTCAATTGTTGGACATTTGGATTTCCAATTTCTGGCTATTACAAAATAATGCTACTGTGAACATTCTAATATGTGTCTTATGGTGAATATATTTCTGTTGGGTATATACCAATGAGTGGAATTGCTAGGTCATAATGGTTTGCATATGTTCATCTTTATTAGTTTTCCAAGTGGTTGTATCAGTTTTCATTTTCATCAACAGTTTATTAGAGTCCTAGTTGTTCCACATCTTTACCATTATGTTTTTGCAATTAAAAAAAAAATTAGCCGTTTTGGAAGGTGTGTGGTAGCTCAGATTGGGGTTGTAACTTGCATTTCTCTGATGATGAGTGCAGCTGGCCACTTTGAGCATTCAGATCTCTTTTTTGTGAAGTGTATGTCCAAGTCTTCTTTCGCTTGCTTTTCTGTTGGATTTTCTATCTTTTGATTATTGATTTGTAGGAGTTCTTTTTATATTCTGGGTATGAGACCATTACCAGATAAATGTTTTATTTATATCTTCTCCCACTCTATTGATTGACTTTTTATTCTCTTAATGGTGTCATTTAATGATCAGAAATTCTTAATTTTAATATAGTCAATGTATCAATTTTCTTCTTTTCTGGATAGTGCTTTATGTATCCTATTTAATAAACTTTGATTATTCCAATATCCTGAAAAATTTTTCTTAGCTATTCCTTAAAATATTTTTGTTTTACTTTTATTATGTAGATCTGCAGTCCATCTGGAATTTCTTTTGTTTTTTCTTTTGGTGAGGAAGGTTGACCTTGAGCTAACATCTGTGCCAACCTTCCTCTATTTTGTATGTGGGATGCAGCCACAGTGTGGCTTGATGAGCAGTGTGTAGATCTGCACCCAGGATCTGAACCCACAAACACTGGGCTGCTGAAGCGGAGTGCGTGAATTTAACCATCATGCCACTGGGTCAGCCCCTGGAACTTTTTAATATATTATATGAGATAGGGAGTCAAGATACATTATTTTCCATGTGGATATCCAATCAACTCAGCACAATTTTTTCTTCCGCTTTTCTTCCCCAAATACCCCCAGTACATAATTGTATATTTTAGTTGTGGGTCCTTCTAGTTCTGGCATGTGGGACGCTTCTTCAGCATGGCCTAATGAGCAGTGCCATGTCCGCGCGCAGGATCCAAACCAGCGAAACCCTGGGCTGCCAAAGTGGAGCGTGTGAACTTAATCACTTGGCCACGGGGCTGGACCCAGCACAATTTATTAAAAAGACCATCCATTTCTCATTGTAATACAGTTTGCTGTTGTCATAAGTCAGGTGACAAGTTGTCTTATTTTTCTATCAGTACTACACTATTTTAACTATTATAGCTTTATAATAGATCTTTTCACCTGTAGTGTAAATCTCCTAGTTTTACTGTTTTTCAAGATTGTTCTGGCTCTTCTTGACCTTTTGCATTTCTATATTAATTTTACAATCAGCTTATCAATTTCAAGAAAAAAAAAACCTGCCAGAATTTTTTATTGGGACTGTAGATCTGTAGAGTAATTTGGGGAAAATTGATATCTTTACAGTGTTAAGTTTTCAAATCCATGAACACAGTATACACTTCTATTTATTTGAGTCTCTTTAATTTCTGTTCATAGTGTTTTTAGTTTTCAGTGTGGATAACTTACACATCTTTTGTTAAGATTTAATCCTAGGTATTGATGTTTCTCAATAGTATTGTTAATGGTATCTTTTTTTTTATTATTTTATTTTATTTTTTTAAAGATTGGCACCTGAGCTAACAACTTGCCTAGCTTTTTTTTTCTTTTTCCTGCTTTTTATGCCCAAATCCCCCCAGTAGATAGTTTTATACTTTTAATTGTGGGTCCTTCTAGTTGTGGCATGTGGGACGCCGCCTCAACATGGCCTGATGAGCAGTGCCATGTCTGCGCCCAGGATCCAAACCAGTGAAACCCTGGGCCGCCAAAGCAGAGCGCACAAACTTAACTACTCGGCCACAGGGCTGGTCCTCTTTTTCTTTTAAACTGTGATAATACTAAGCTGCTTGTGTTATAATCAATTCTATTCCATTACTTCTTCTTTTTTTTTTTTTTGAGGAAGATTAGCCCTGAGCTAACATCTGCTGCCAATCCTCCTCTTTTTGCTGAAGAATACTGGCCCTGAGCTAACAACTGTGCCCATCAACCTCTTCTTTATATGTGAGATGCCTGCCAGAGCATGACTTGATAAGTGGTGTGTAGGTCTGTGTCCAGGATCTAAACCGGCAAACCCGGGACTCCCCAAGCGGAATGTGCCAACTTAACCACTGTGCCACCAGGTTGGTATCTATTTAAAAAATAATTTGATTTTCTAATTATTGCTAATCTATGGGAACACAGCTCAGTTTTGTACATGGATCTTTTATCAACAAGCTTGTTAAATTTGTTGGTTGATTTTGATAGTTTATCTGTAGATTCTTTCGGATTTTCTATCCATACAGCTATGTCATCTATGAAAAATGACAGTTTCATTTTCTAACCTTTGTGCCTTTTATTTCTTAAAAACATTTTATTTTCTTGCCTTATTACACTGGTTAGGACTTCCAGTACAATATTGAATAGAGGTAGTGATAGTGAGTATCCTTGTCTTGTTCTTTCTTTCTCTCTCTCTTTTTAGAAAACGTTTGGTGAACATTCTTTTTCACAGTAAGGAAGATCTCTTATATTCCTAAATTGCTAAGTGTGATTATTATAAATGGATGTTGAAAGTTTTTGTTTTTAAAGTAAGCTTTTTTTTGGTGAGGAAGATTGACCGTGAGCTAACATCTGCTGCTAATCTTCCTTTTTTTTTTTTTTCTCTCAAAAGCCCCAGTACCTAGTTGTATATCCTAGTTGTAGGTCATTTTAGTTCTTCCATGTGGGATGCTTCCGTAGCACGGCTTGATGAGCAGTGTGTAGGTCCATGCCTGGGATCCAAACTGGTGAACCCCAGGCCACTGAAGTGGAGCATGTGAACTTAACCACTCAGCCACGGGGCTGGCTCTTTGAAATTTTAAAAATACTTCTTCTGCATATTTTGAGATGTCCATATGATTTTTTTCCATTACATTTGTTGTGATGAAATGTATCAGTTGGATTTTGAATGTTATACTATTCTTGCATTCCTGGAATAGGTTTGTTTGCTTCTGAGATATTATCTTTTGATTTTTCGGTGATTTCAGTTTGCTAAAATTTTGTTAAGGATTTTGCGTTTATATTTACAAAAGAGAGGAAGCTTGGTCTAATATTCCTTTCTTGTAAGGACTTTGGTAGGTTATGCTCGCCTCACTAAAGGAGTTAGGCAATAGTTCTTTTTTGTCTATTCTCTGGAAAAGTCTGTGCAAGAGTAGTATGACTTCTTCACTAAATATTTGGAGGAATTCACAGGTGAAGCCATGTAGGCTTGGGGTTTTCTTTTTGAGGAGGTTTTAGTTAATGGCTTCAATTGCCTTATTAAATATTTGACTATTCAGATTTTCCAGTTTCTGTTAATGTTAGCTTAAATGCACTAGTTTTCTTTTCTTTTTTTTTGAGGAAGATTAGCCCTGAGCTAACATCTGCTGCCAATCCTCCTCTTTTTTGCTGAGGAAGACTGGCCCTGAGCTAACATCCGTGCCTATCTTCCTCTAGTTTATATGTGGGACACTTACCACAGCATGGCTTGCCAAGCGGTGCCATGTCCGCACCCGGGATCCGAACCGGCGAACCCCAGGCCGCCAAAGCGGAATGTGTGCACTTAACCACTGCGCCACTGGGCTTGCCCAATGCACTAGTCTTCTAACTGCATGAAAATTGCTCTAAAACTTAGAACTTAAAACAACAAACATTTATTATTGCAAAGATTCTGTAGATCAGAAATTTAGGAGCAGCTTAGCTGGGTTTTTCTGACTCAGGGTCTCTCATGAGGTCATGGTCAAGTTGTAGACTGGGGCTGCAGACATCTAAGAGTTTGACTGGGATCCACTTCCAAGCTGTCTCAGTGATTATTGGCAGACAGTCTCAGTTTCTTGTTGGGTGTTGGCAGGAGGTCTCAGTTCTTCACCATGTGGGTCTTTCATATGGTGACATGACAGCTGGTTTTCCCAGAGCAGGTGATCCAAGAGAGACAGCAAACAGGAAGCCATAGTGCCTTTCATAACCTAATCTCTGAAGTTGCAACTGCTACTTTTATTTTTTTCTATTCAGTAGAAGGAAGTCACAAAATCCAACCCATATTCAAGGGGAAGGGAATTAGGCTCCAAGAATTTGTGGATATTTTAAACCACTATATTAGATAAGTTAAATTTTTAATTTTTATTTATTTATTTATTTATTTATTGAGGAAGATTAGCCCTGAACTAACACCTGCTACTAATTCTACTCTTTTTTTTAACTGAGGAACACTGGCCCTGAGCTAACGTCTGTGCCTGTCTTCCTGTACTTTATATCTGGGATGCCTGCCACAGCATGGCTTGACAGGTGGTGCATAGGTCCACACCTGGGATCCGAATGGGCAAACCATGGGCTACTGAAGCAGAACATGTGAACTTAACCGCTGGACCACCGGGCTGGTCTCCAGATAAGTTCAATTTTTGAGAAAATTGTCCATTTTTCATCCAGTGTGAAGATTGTTTGCATACTGTTATTCATAAAGTCCTCTTATTATATTGTAACAATATTTTATTATAAAAAATTAAATATACATTAAAGTTGAAAGAATTTTACAGTGAACATCTGTAATAGTTAATTCTGTCATTAATATTTTACTTGACTTGCTTTTTTTATACTTCTGTCTATCTATCCTTCTATCTAGCCTTCAATTTGTGTTATTTTTTTGGATACATTTCAAAGTAAATTGTAGACATTGATATACTTCTTCCTAAATACTTCAGCATGCACGTCACTAATTGTACTTCAATATTTATTCATAGTTTGTTTCTTTTAAGGTAAAATTTACATACAATGAAATGCACAAAGCTTAAGTGTACATACAGAGATTTTGACAAATGCATATACCTGTGAAATCCGTACCTCATCAAGATTAGAACATTATCATCATTCCAGAAAATTCCATCTTATTCTTGTTAAGAGATCTTAATTTTCTGGTGAAAATCTCCGTGTTTTCATCTAATTCATCTGTCTTCTATTTTCTTGATCATATCAATCAGAGTTATTTTAAAATCCTATTATTAACTCCAGAATTGGGGTAATCTGTGAATCTGCTTCTACTGTCTACTTTTTGTGTATGGTCTTACATATTTGTCATTTTGCCTTGTATGCTGAACATTGTGGATAAAAGAACCATAAGAACCAGAGATCCTCTAGATGATGCTATTGTAGAGGAGGAACAAATACTCCTCTACCTTAAAGGTTCTTCTGGCTGGTCTAAGAATGAAATTGACATAAGACAGAATAACAGGAGGAAATCAAACAAATTTAATAACATGTATACATGGGAGAAGCCCAGGAAAACTGAGTAACTCGCCAAAATGGCTGAAGCCACCACCCTAAATACCATTTTCAGCTAAAGACAAAAGAGGATGTTGTGGGTAGTGATTTGGAACTTCACAGTGGAGGCAGGCAATTCACATGGAGATTGAAAAGCAAATGTTTGGTAAACAAATGTTTGCCATATCTTGCAAAGACAATGTGACATGATGAGGACTTTGATTAAATGGGCCTTGCTAGGTTCCTCCCTGTCTGTCATATCTAATTCACATGGTACTATGGTTATAAATAGTGATAGCTCTTTCCTGGGACAGGCCTTCTGTCTTAAATTCTTTTCGGCAGTTAGGGGGAAGGTCAAAGTTTCTTTCTGAGTCTTTTGTTCTTAAAAATAATCAAGCCCAAAAGACACATTTTGGGGTGGTAAATTCTGATCCCCAACACTATCTTTCACCAAAGATGGCTCCCTTTTCTTCTTTTTAGCATATAGGGTGAGGGGGTAACCACTGGTTCCAGTCGGGCTCTAAACTGAGTTAGATGTGTGCTGGAGTTTTAATAAGATTCAGTCTACAGTTAGTTTTACCCATTCATGCAGCCTGGTCTTTCCAGGTTTTTGATTGAAGAGTCTGTTGGGTCTTTGTCTCTTAAGCTCTGAAAGTTTGTGAGAGGTTCTGTTATCCTCTTTAGAGGATTTCAGTTTAGCTCTTTGGCCTCCTTCTTTCTGTAGCTTCACACCCAGCAAATGCTTTGAAAGAGTGACTGGCTCAGTGAGTCTCTATCAGTGAGTTTAATGCAGGCTCCCTCCCCCTGCAGTGACTTTGTTTCCTAATCACCACAGAGTGCAGAAGATCTCATTTTGCATTTTAGAAGCTTTGGTTCTGTCCACACAACCCCAGTACTCATAAATGTCCTGGGGAAAGACTGGTCATGTGTTTGAAGTTGCTCAGATTTCCAGTTGTCGCTCCACCCTTATAACAACCACTAAAAGCTTTGATGGTTTGTTTTTTCCCAGCAAAGGCCCTCTGCTTGGACCGAGACCAATGGTGTGTTGGCACCCAGAAGCAGAAAATTCCTCCGGGGCAAAAACTCCTGGAGATTGTCATCTTACACCAGAATGGTTCTCTTCCCTCTGGAATTTTAATTCATTTTGTCTTCATTTCTTCCATAGCTTCCAATATCCACAAAACATAATTTTTGTAACTAATGTAACTTTTTCTATTTGTTGCTGTAGGAGCATTTGCCTGCCAAGACATACTGCACTTTGCCCGAAAGTTTGTGCATTATAATTTTAATGTACATAGGTGATTTTGTATTTTATATCTCATTATTTCTTACTTATTTTTTTACTCTACCCTGTAGCTCTAAAGTAAATCCATGTTGCTATGTTCACAGCTAATCTGTTGTTTCTACTGCTGCAAAATATTTCATTTTACCTACTCACTTGCCTGTTGATGAATGCTTGTACTCCTTGTACCACAAAAAACATGTTTCCTCTTATGGTCCTACAAGATAATTCAACATGGGTATAGATCCAGGACTAGAATTTCTAGGTTGTGGGGCAGCATATCCTTAACTTGTCTTAAGTAGTATCATATTGCTCTCTAGAATGGCTGCGGTACATAAAATTTCCTATATTCCCACATCTTCACCGACAGCACCATCTAATTTTAAAATTTTGTCAGTCTCTTATATGTAAAGCAGGTGTTCTCAAAGTATGGTCCAGGACCCTGTGAAAGTCCTTGAGCCCCTTTTAGGGGGTCCGCAAGGTGAAAACTATTTTCATACTCATATTAAGACACTATTCAGTCTTTTGAGTCTCATTCTTGTATGAGAGTATAGTGGAGTTTTCCAGAGGCTACATAAAATGTGATATTTCAATGGACTGAATGCAGAGGCAGATATGAGATCCCATCTGTCTTTTATTAAGCCAGATATTATAGAGATTTGTAAGACTGTAAAGCAGTGTTACTTTTCTCACTAAATTTTTGGAAAATATAGTTATTTTTCACGAAAATATTTATGATAAAATGTAATGGGCTTATTATTTTTATTTAAAAATGAATGAATAAATATTTAAAGATTTTCAGCTTTAATTTCTAACATGGTAAATATAAATTGATATAACTCACATATATAAAAGCACTTTGGGGTCCCTGATATTTTTCTGAGTGCAAAGGCGTCCTGAGATTAAAATGTTTGAGAACTGTTGGTATAATTTTAATTTGCATTTCTCTTTATAATTCATGAGTTGAATATCTCTTCATATGTGCATTACTTTTTTGGGCTAACAAATTAATTTGAAGCTTAACAGCTTAAAACAACAAACATTATTATCTCCCAGTTCCTGTAGGTCAGTAGTTTGATAGCAGCTTAGATGAGTTGTTCTGGCTCAGAGTTTCTCACAGGGTTAAAGTCAAAGATTGGCTGGGGCTGTGGTTATCTGAAGGCTTGACTGGGATTGGAGGATGCTGTGGCAGAAGACCTCACCGTGGCAGACGGCCTCACTCCCTCAGCACTTGAACCCTTCCATAGGGCTGATTGAGTGTTCTCACTGCGTGGCAGCTGGCTTCTCCTAGAATAAGTAATCTGTGAGAGAACAAAGGAGAGGTGTGAATGCATCAGACTGGTAGAAAAATCCCAGAGCTTCTGCTGAAGGGTTTGGACTTGCCCTCTGTGAAGCTGATGTGGAGGATGCTGGAGAGAAAAGGCGTAGGAAACAAGAACTGTTAATCTCTAGTGACTACAATGTTGAATCAAGCCAAAAAGAAAATTGTCATATCAATATCATACATGCTAAGGGATGGGAGAGGTAATGACTGGTGAATGAATGTGACTGGTGAACTCACAAAAGGACAATTTTAATACAAATCACAATGATTGTTGAGCCAATCCCGTTACAAACAGTACAACTACCAGCAGGGAGCTGACTTGTTGAGGTATGATGACTTAGAAGTCTTTGGTCAGCATGTAACCCTCAGCCATGACAAATACAAGCAAGAAGTAGAGCTGTGACACACCGTCCTCAAAAGAGATGATGTTCTTCTTTGAAACAAAGTTACTCAGTATTTTAGAGATAATAATAGAGCAGTTGCAGAGACCAACAAATGATGAATTTCTGTGAAGTCATACATGGGACTGTGAAGCTGAGAATTAAGAAAATTATAGCAGTCAAGACCAGGCTCCCCACTATGGTGCTCCCTGGAAGAGGGGGAGCTGAAGCCCTGGCTGCCTTGTTGAGAATGAAATCTGTCACTGTGTAGTGATTTTCTGCAACGATTCTCTTCCAGATAGGAGGCCTGTGGTAAGGCCTGGTATGAGCATCTTCCCCAACTGAACTGTTTTTACTCATCTCACTACTGCTGTTGATTGTTAGGAGTCAGACCAGCTGGGCAGCGTTTCAAAGACCAGCATGGTTAGAAGAAATGGGCAAGGCCTGGAGTATTTACTGCCTACAACTTTTTCATATAGTTAGAAATAAAAACTTTTGTGTTTCACTTCTTGGGTTTGAACATGTATTTTGCTTCAGAAATTTAATCTCACATTTTGTATAGGTAATTCCAAAATATTCACTAGAATATGATAATGTAAAGCTGACATTATCCCAAATCCAGAGAGTACAGCGTGGTGTGGTTATAGGACTTGCTGAATGACAAGTCATGTCCTTATCTATAAAATGAGAAGTAAAAATATCAACTCCTGAGGTGTTTTGTAAGCACAAAATGGGATAATATACATGGAAATACTTTTTGAAAATGCTCAGTTGCTATAGAAATGTGAGTTGTCATCAGACATCTGGAAATTGATCTGAGTTTTTCCCTGGACTTGAAGCTCTATGATCCAACACAGCAGGTGTCTTCCCACTTTGTGGAGGTTAGTTACCGGCTAAATCAGTGGGCAGTAGTTGGGGTGAGAGCATCATGTGGTGGTTCCTGAGAAACCTTCCGAAACGGAGCGCAGTCTGCACCCTGATAGGGCGTGTGTATCAGTACTGATGGAGCTTGACTAAGGGAATTTCAGTGTGCACAGATGTAAAAGTTAGAAGACCATGAAGAAACTCTTATTTTAGGTGACTGCATGTGGCCTATCTGTGGTATGAACGTAATGTAGTCAAAAAAGAAGGAAAAGAATAAAGAGCAAGGAATTGTACACACCCACAAAAAATGCACATTATCACAGTATGTCCTTATGAAAAATTATATATTTGTTTATGGGTATATGTATTGAAAATAAAAGATGAAAAGAAATAGGATATAGCACTTTGTGCATTTCTGTCAATAACTAGGTTTGCTTTAAATGAAATTGAATCCAACAAATTGGTAGTTGGGCTGAAGCCCTACGATTACTAAAAAGCCAGCGTCTCTGACTCTAGACTGGAGGCACTGTTCTACTAAAGAAAGATTAGATTATATCAACTGAGAGTTTTGTAGCTTGAAAAATTGGGGAATCAGAATAATTTTGTACCTTAAAATATTGGGCAAACTAGGCTTGGAGTGTAGTTTATCCTGAGTAAAATAAGAGAACTAAGAAGAAAAGATGAGATCTGTTGCTCCTTCTGTGCTCAGAGGAGCTCAGGAAAATTCAGGATAGGTCAGGGTTAGAAGTAGGTGGAACTAGAAATAGAATACAGCATTCTCACTCATCTAAAGAAAAATGATTTGAGTGGGGAAACCAGATCCTCCTCCTCTGTATACCCTTTGTATTGGGATCTTAAGAAGTCTGTCTATCCTTAATTTCCCATTGTCATGTTACATTCTACCCCTGAAAATGGAGTATGTGGAAATATTAGGAAGAGGCACATAGCAAGTGATGGGGGGGAGGTGACCCCATGGCTGAGGGGTTAAGTTCACACACTCTGCTTTGGTGGCCTAGAGTTTCACTGGTTCGGATCCTGGGCGCAGACCTAGCACCGCTCATCAAGCCATGCTGAGGCAGCGTCCCATATAGCAGAACTAGAAGGAGGTACAACTAGAATATACAACTACGTACTAGGGGGCTTTGGGGAGAAGAAGAAAAAAAACAGAGGAAGATTAGCAACAGATGTTAGCTCAGGGCCAATCTTTAAGGAAAAAAAAAAAGAAGGTGATTGGGACAATATTCACTCTGGAAAAAATACAGTAAGTAAAGAAACATCATCATAGCATAGTAAACATTAAGTATTGAGAAATAAAAATTGTGATGTACCTATATTGGAAGGATAGGAGAGAAGAATTGGGAGTTCAAAGAATGTAAGAGAACTAAATCCAAATCAAATCTAATTGGCAGAATTTCCCTTAGCAAATAACTCATCGTAACTATTATGAGAGTTAGATATTATTCTAGGCTCTGAATCAATGAATAATGTCTGAATTAGATGAATCAACAAAGAGCATTGTAAGCATATTGTTTAGAAACCCTGCTTCAGCTCTTTACTGTGTGACCCTGAGCAAGTTATTTGACTATTTGAAGACTAAGCTTCCTTAACTACAAATTTGGAATTATTATAGCAGCTACTTCATAGGATTGTGAGGTTAAAATATTACAGTCCCTGTAAATAGTAAGTTTTCAAAAAATTTTAACTCTTGTGTTTTTATTATTATTTACATGTTCACATCATGGTATTTAACCAAGGCATCTCCACAGTGGTAAAGTACTGACATTTCAGACATGCTTTCCAGAAGCACGGGGTCTTCATTGTTGGGAATCTAAACTGACAGACATCTGTGTCTGAGGTTTATTTCCTAAAATAAAAATAATTTAAATTCTAGCTACTTTAGTTGCCTAACTTATATAATTAATGCTATTTGCATAATTCAGTGGAGTTTATGCATTCCTTTCACAAGTTTAAATCATTTAATCCTCATAAAAATCTTGGGGGCAGATGGTGTTTATTAGCAGGAATTATAATGTATTTTTTATTGGTGAGGAAGCTCAAGTGCAGATAGATTGGGAGATTTGCCCAAGGTCACAGAACTAAAACAGTGACGTGGAACTCGCACCTGAAGAGCCTATGCTTTCTTCCCTGGCCTCTAGTTCAGTGATCCTTAACATGTGGTCCCCAGAACAGTATCATCAGAACCACCTGGGAATTTGTAATATAAATCCTTCGGCCCACCCCCAGATCCATCAAAATGCTGGAAATGGGGCCCAGCAGTCTGAGTCTTAACAACTTTTCTAGGTTATTCTGATGTACTTTAACATTTAAGAACCACTCTTCTAGTTTGTAGCCTTTTAAATCTGTACACCTGTGTCACTCAGGCATCATGGCACACATGCTTTTCTCTTAATGTCTTACTATCAGCACAGGGGGAAAAGAGGAACGCTGCATTATATATTTCCTCTTCTGGGAAACTGAAGCTCAAGAAGTCAGTCAAGTTTTATCCAAGGTCATGTAGCTAGTAAGAGGCAGAACTAGGCCTAGAACCCAGGACCTCTGACCACCAGCCCATCGTGCCTTCTACTGTAACGTGCTATTTTGCTATAATTTATTTTTATGTAAGATTATATTTTTTAAAGTAAAATTGATTTATTGAATTTCTGGGGATAAAGAAGAGAAAGACTTATTACTGTATTTCATAAGAATTTTTAAAATTTACAAAAGCAATATATGTGCATGAAGAAAATGAGAAAACATAGGTAGGTAAGAAAAAATGAAAAACTAAAAACACCATATTTCCTCTATCCAGTGATTACTATTCTTAACTTCTTATTGTCTATCCTTCCAGATATTTTTGTATGGATACATATGCGTTTCATTTTTTCCTAGAATGAGACCATATTATAGATGAGACCATATACTATTTAAAACTTGCTTTTTTATATTGCATTTTAAAATACATAGCTTCATTTGATTTCACCACCCCAGGCCTTCCCCTCCCACATACCTGCCCTAACCATGTTCCTTTATGGGTGCAGCAGTAAACATAGGGAAATCTACATTGCATCATAAGCTTTGTATCTTAAATTATGGTGCCAGATATGGTACCATTTGTTCATAAAAACTCTTTGAGTTGTGTTTATTATCCTCATTTTAAGATAAGGGATTTGAAGTTCAGAGAGAGGTTAAACAAGTTTACCACTGTCATCCCAGCTCGGAAGTGGCAGAGCCAGGATTTGTACTAAGAACAGACTGATTCCAAGTTTATTCTCTGAATATTTAGTGAGGCTGTATAATTTGTGTCATTCAACTGGGATGTAGCAGATTTGAAAGAGGGTGCTTCTACAGTGATCTCAGCCAAAATGGCAGAGTAGGAAACTCCCATAGTCCTTCTATCCACAAAAGCAACAAATAAACTGGCAAAAACTTTCAAAATCAACTTTCTTGGAATTCTGGATACTAACTAAAAGCTGTGGCAAGCAGGGGACACAATCAATAAAAAATGGTGAATCTCTTATAATAAAGCTTTGTGGCACTTTAACTTATCCCGGTTGCATCTCCAGCTCCCAACTCAGCGTTGGCCTTGAAGACAACAGCGTGTGTTCCTGGTATAAGTACCTGTACTAGAGGGAGCATAACAGACCTTATTCTCCAAGAATTGTGGCTGTTTGTTTTGACCTGTCTGGTGGTTCTCTGAAAGACCAGCTCAAAGGGCTTGCCTCTATATGGCCTAACTGGCAACTCTCCCAGGGCTGAGGTGGCTACAGGGAGAGGAGGCTGTTTGTGGGAAATGTTTAAAGGCAAATATATTAGTCACTGCCACCTGGGGCAAGGGATAAGAATTGGGACAAACAATAGATTAACCAAAAAGCTTGGGAGGAAAGACTAGGGAATGAGATGCTTTGAGAAATACAGACTTTGAAAAGCTCCCACATATTCCTGGGAACCTAGAAGGCCACACACATGCCCAGGGCTGGGTACATGCTCAGGAAAGACCTGAGAAGACCCTAAGCTCTCACCTCTGGCTGTCCTTCAGGCAGCCTTATTTGTAATAGCCCCAAAGTGGAAACAACCCAAATGTCCATCAACTGATCCATGGATAAGTAAAATGTAATATATCCACACAATGGAATATTATTCAGCCATAAAAAGGAATGATGTCCAGATACCTGTGACATCACAGACAAACCTTGAAAACATGCTGATTGAAAGAGCCCAGACACAAAAGGCCACATGTAAGATTCCATTTATATGAAATGACCAGAATAGGCAAATCAATAGAGACAGAAATCGGATTAGTGGTTGCCAGGGGCTGAGGGTAGAAGGGAATAGAAAGTGGCTACTTATGGGTACAGGATTTCTTTTTGAGGCACAGGGATGTTCTGGAATTAGTGCTGATGGTTGCACAGCGTTGTGAAGGTACTAAAAACCACAGTAGGTACACCTTAAAATGGTAAATTTTGTTGTGTGATTTTTATCTCAATAAAAATTAAAAATAGGAAAATTAAAAAAAGCAAAAGAGGGAGTGCTCTAATAGCTGTGAAATGCATTTGAAATGGAGCCTCCATGGCAACAGTCTCTGCAGTGACATCGGCTCAGGGCAGCTTTCCCTGGTGTTGCATCATCCAGACAAGAACCCTCCAAG